CTCTTTCTCAAACAAATTAAAAAAAAAAAAAAAAAGAAAGAAAATACTTTGATGCTTATAAAGGGTATTCACATACTACTGTCAGGAGCAAAAGATGGGAAGATAAAATTTACTGAAACAAAGATTTGAAAATATGCAATTTGAAACCAAAGCAAATGATTAAAGAAAAATATTTAGCCTGAAATTTAGGATGATCTATGGAAGAGATGAAATCACCGAGGAGACTTAGGAGAGCTTGTCAAAGCTGACTTCAGCCTAGGCTACGACCAGTTGGGGTCGAATAAAAGGAGTTTTCAGGATCAGTTTGTCTTTGACCTGCCTTTGCTTTTTTTCTTTTTCTCTTTCTCTCTCTCTCTCTCTCTCTTTTTTTTTTTTATTAAAAAAAAAAAAAGTAAGTTGACTTCTGTCACACTCTCTCTGAAAATAATGAGTGCTCTAGTTTCCGTAACGCCAGCAGGTGGCGCATTTTTTGCATTTCCCCACCCCCCCACCCCCCCAAGCTAAGAAAAATTTGAGAACTGGTATGAATATATGAAAAGAACAAACGCTGCCTTTTCATACTTGGTACTCTGCTTCTCTCAGGGGAAATACTTTACAAGAATACGAGTAGAATCTGCTTCCCCCTCTCTCTGCCTGCCTCTCTGCCTACTTGTGATCTCTGTCCAACGAATAAATAAAATCTTAAAAAATAAAATAAAATAAAATAAAATAAAAGGGCGCCTGGGTGGCTCAGTGGGTTAGGCCTCTGCCTTCCGCTCAGGTCGTGATCCCAGGGTCCTGGAATCGAGTCCCGCATCGGAATCTCTGCTCAGCAGGGAGCCTGCTTCCTCCTCTTTCTCTGCCTGCCTCTCTGCCTACTTCTGATCTCTGTCTGTCAAATGAATACATAAAATCTTAAAATTAAAAAAAAGAATACAAGTAGAATCACCTTTGTTTTGCTGTTTCTTTTCCACCTTAGCGAGGGCTTGAATTTTGTATTAAATTGTCAAATTCCTAGTTCCACTTTTTCCTGTGATGAAATATAGCTGATTAGAATCCCAAGTGGCCGCCAACCTTCACACTGTGGGATGCCTCAGGATGTGACGAAGACCCTAAACTCCGGTGAACCGAAAGCCAAGGTGCATTGCACGGGGGGCTCTGACCCATTGTGTTTTACGGCTTGCATCCTGGGGTTTCATGCTGGTTTCAGTGCCTCCCAAAGTTTCCCGGGTGGGACCGAAGGTTTCAGCGTAGTCTGGAACAATCAGAACAATCTCTCCATCCACCCCGGTCCGGCTCCCTGAAGAGCGTCCAGGGCTGAGGAAGCTGTGGTGCTCTGCTTCTCTCAGGGTAAGCCCTAAGTGGGCGCTTTCTGATGGGGAATCCCCGCAGCAGGACGCAAGTCAACCTTCCCGTCATGGGCAAAAGGACAGGAGGGTATCCTCAGCCTCTTTGAAACGATCCGGAAGTCGCTGAGAAGAAGCAAAGTCAAAATCCCCATTCTCTACCCCTTTGGACTTTGGGCTAAGTTTGCTGTAAGTGAATCTGAAAAACAGCTGCAAGTATTTTGTTGTTAGCTCCAAAGCAGAGGAAAGGGACCCATGTCATTTCGTTTCTAAAGGAATACCCAACTGTCGGTGCCCATTACACATACTTTCATAATAGAGAGGTTTATGAGATCAACTTTATTGTGAGAAGTATCTCAGACAGAGGAGCTCTTGGCGCTAATTTGATCGAATGCTGTAACTTTCACGGAATCAACATTTTTATTACTACCTCTAGAAGACTGTTTCGTGTAATGTATCAGACTCTTTGGAAGTAGAAGTTAGCTTCATAAAATGATTCAATAATAAAAACTCATATAAGGCTTTTTTTTAAAAAAAGATTTTACTTATTTATTTTACAGACAGAGATCACAAGTAGGCAGAGAGGCAGGCAAAGAGAGAGGGGGAGGCAGGCTCCCTGCAGAGCAGAGAGCCCGATGCGGGCCTCAATCCCAGGATCCTGGGATCATGACCTGAGCCGAAGGCAGAGGCTTTAACGCACTGAGCCACCCAGGCACCCCACATAAGGCTTTTTCAAACAAACATTAAAGAATGTCCTTTTGGGGGTGCCTGGGTGGCTCAGTCCGTTGAGCATCTGACTCTTGATTTTGGCTCAGGTCATGATCTCAGGGTCAGTGAGATGGAGCCCTGTGTTGGGCTCATGCCCAGTGCGGAGTCTGCTTGTCTTTCTCCTTCTGCTCTCCCCCCACCCCACCTTGTGCTCTCTCTCTCTCTCTCAAATAAATAAATAAAATCTTTTTTTTTCCTTTTATAACTGTCTTTTTTACAATAATACTCATCACAAAACTTCAGGAAATCCAGACTACTACAAAGAAGAAAATAAGGGGGGCGCCTGGGTGGCTCAGAGAGTTAAAGCCTCTGCCTTCGGCTCAGGTCATGATCCCCGGGTCCTGGGATCGAGCCCCGCATCAGGCTCTCTCCTTGGTGGGGAGCCTGCTTCCTCCTCTCTTTCTCTGCCTGCCTCTCTGCCTACTTGTGATCTCTCTCTGTCAAATAAAGAAAAAAAAAAAAAGAAGAAGAAGAAGAAGAAGAAGAAAATAAGGATTACCTGTAATTCCACTGGACATTTAAATATATATGCTTCACATATTTTTGTTTTTGTTTTTGTTTTTATATGGTCTCCACACCCAGCATGGAGCCCAGTATGAGGCTTCAACTCATGACCCTGAGGTCAAGACCTAAACTGAGAACAAAAATCAGATGCTTTGCCAACTCAGCCACCCAGGTGTCCCATGCATCACATGTTTCTAAATGGAACTCAGTTTGCTGAGTTATTGTTGGGTTTTGTTTTTGTTTTTGTTTTGTACCCCCACCCCCACTGCCTCCCATCTTATTTTTTTGTTTGTTTGCTGTGTTGTTGTTGTTTTTTAAACAATGTCTTTCATTTAATGATGAATTGTGGACATCATCGCATATTCATAAATACAGATATACCATATTATATTCTTTTTTAAAAAGCATGGAGGAGGAAGGAGTATTTATAGTACCAAGCATAAATGTCTTTAGGGATTTTTTTAAAAGATTTTATTTATTTGTCAGAGAGACCACAAACAGGGAAACCAGCAGGCAGAGGAAGAAGCAGGCTCCCTCCTGAGCAAGGAGACCAGCACAGAACTCAATCCCAGGACACCGGGATCACCACCCAAGCCAAAGGCAGACCCTTAACCAACTGAGCCACCCAGGCAGACATCCCTTTAGGGACTTTTTTTTTAAATTGAGAAATAAAATATGTGAAGTTTCATGTATATCATAGTTTCATGTATATCCCCATAAATTTTTACATACATAAATGTTAGGTGCTTGGGCTGCCATAATAAAATAACACTTTGGGAGGCTGGGAAGTCCTAGATCAAGGTGTCAGCAAGGTAGGTTTCACCCTGAGGCCTGTCTTGGAGAAAAAGAGAGAAGAGAGAGCTTGCACTCACATGCTCTCTGATATCTCTTATAAGGGCACAAGTATCACCAGATCAGGTCTTCACCTTTATGGCTCATTTAACTTTAAAGGCCCTGTCCCCCGTGCAGTCACACTGGGGGTTACCTTCAACATCTTAAATTGGGGGGGGGCACAATTCAATCCATAGCAGTAAGGTTATTTTTAAAGGAGAATAAAGCTTTATATACTATATTACTTAAGTTATATATCTGCATACACAAATCAAAATAAAGAATTAAATGATTTCATTGGATAAATCAGGAGAATGATTTTTTTGGATCTTTTGGAATTTATTCCTTACCGGAACATAAACTCCATGTGATCAAAGATTTGTGTCTTTTCTTTTCATTGCTAAATTCTCATGTCCAGAACACAGTGAGTAGCATATAACTGGTGCTCATTGTTGAAAGAACAATAGAATGTTTTCTTTATTTCTTTTCTTTTTCTTTCTTTCTTCTTTCTTTTTTTTTTTTTTTTTTGTGGGAGGGGGAGGAAAGAGGGAGTACAGAGCTTAGGAGCCACAGAACATTAGCACAGACTGCCTTGATTGAATCTCAGTTCTATTACTTACCAGTTCTTTTACCTGGACAAGTTACTTAAGCTCTCTGTGCCTCAGTTTTCTCTTCTGCAAAATGGGTATTTTAGGGTTGTTGTAGTAAGGATTAAAGTAATTAATAGGTTTAAACCATTTGATATAGGATTTAATATATCCTAGGTAAAAGTAAGTACCCTGAAGTAGGGTAATGTTAGGTATTTACATTTAGAGTTAATTGTTCCTTTTATATGCAGTCACAACCTAAGAAAATATCCTGTGAAGTCAGTTATATGGGATGATGTTTGCCTTGGTTTTTGATGAAGAAATATTGAGAAACGGCAGTGATGTGACTTCTGGTGTTCAAAGTAAGGCAGTATGTTTGCATTTTCCTGGAACTGTTTATTAGTTGGATTTTTATAATTATTTAATTAGTAGCTTACAACCTATGAACCTAGTTTGAGCCTCTACATTCAATATATGCATGCAACACCTATAAAGCCATTAATTTGTGAATATATATATATATATATATATATATAGTCTCCTATCTTTTGGATCCTGTTGTGATTTTTAGAAATATAAGTTTATATCCTCCTTTAGTTATTAGGTATTTTCTCGAATAGTGGAAGCTGAAAGTACAACTACTAACGTGCAGAATCCCATAAAGGGTAAAAATAGAAAAAGAAGAAGAAACAAAAACAAAAACAAAAACGAAAAAAAAAAAAAACCATGTAGAATCCCTAAATCTGGGGATGATGAAAAGGGAGTCCTCAAAAAATAAATAAATAAAAATTAAAGAACCACTGCTTTAAAAACAAAACAAATTAAAAAAACAAAACAAAACAAAACAAAATTCCACTGCTTTAGTGGCTCCGTTATATAATTTCCACATATAAAAAATTTTTGTGATTTCCTATTAATATATTATAAATCTTGATCTCCTAATCAGAATTGTTGAGATCTCTCTCCTGTGTTTGCCTCTGAGAAACCAGAAGTCCGCTTTTGTCCCAGAGCTTGGCGGCCAGCCTGTGCACAAAATACAACTCCCAGGATTCCCCGGGAGGAGCTCCCGGAAGTTGTAGTTCATTCTACTTTCCGCTACCGCCCACCCTACCTATCTTGTGGGAACCCGCGCCCTGGGCTCCGGCTCCGGATGAGTACCTCCCGTAGTCATCTCTTAGGATTTTCTTTATTGCCTTGTCTTTTTATTTATTTTTCTTTCTCGATTTGTCATTTTTCTCTCGGGTTTCCCCTGTTAGCTGTTACGCACGCCCAAGGACGACCGTTCAAGAGAAGCTGAGAGCAAGCGTTAACCCGGAAGGAGTGACCCGGAAGTGAAAGTGAGTCAGGGTTTGTCCGGCTGAAATGTAGCAGGTCACAGAAGGTTCCGGCTTCAGAAAGGAAAGCTGTCGTCCTTTCTTCTTTTTCTTAGGTACTCACAATTATTTTTATTCTCTTTTTTGATCTCAAAAAGTATTTTTCCACCTCCCCCCCATGTTGTCTCGATAGGATCACTCCTTATACTGAGTGACAAAGTGTGGCTTACACGTGTTGTTCTGGCACAGACTTAGTGTCACTTCTGACTGCCGACTCTGAGAATTGTTCCTAGAGTACTCGAGTAATGCTGCTCCTGGGGTGGGTGATGGAGGGACTGGCCGTGCTCAGGCATAGGTAACCCTAGCGAGTAAACGTCTTGGTTTAAGGGGAGGGGGGTGTGTTCTCTCTTAACATTGAGGTTCAAGACTTTAAGAGTTACTCATTCTGCTGTTTCGAGGGTGGACATTTTAGCTAAAAGTGTTGTAACAAAAATTTGTCATCCTTTTGTCCATTTTTTCAAGTGGACACACTTCTCTGATCGGCTTGAGACTAGATGTAAAGACACGGGAACTTCTGCTGAAGGACTGTGACGTGTGGCTGCTGGGCATTGGCGCATTCTTCCACAGTCTTTTTCCAAATGTGCTTCAGATATTAAAGCTCATTAGCAGAATCCTGCGAAATCTGAATGTTTGGGAGACCACTCTGAATATTTTAGTTTATAGGAGATTATGATATTCAAGTTAGCTGATTTATAATGATCAAATGAGTTGATACATGAATGCACCTCCTAGCATAGTAGGAATACTGGAGACAATAAAGGTTGATTATCATAAAATTTTGACCCTCATTTCAACTTGGAACCTCAGAATTTTAGAAATGTCTATTAGGTGAAGAGCAGGAAATTAGTGTACACAGCCGGTTTCACCTAAGTTGTAATTTTTTAAAGTAACTATTTTTTCCTGATTGTGACAGTAATGCATGCTGTGTGTATAGAAAAATTTAAAACTCTGAAACGTAGAAAAAACAGAAAGCAAGCAAAAGGTATCCACAACTAGAGATCATCTTTTTAACATTTGGTATGTTTCTTTTTTAGGTTTTTCTCCCCCCCCCCCCCAAAAAAAAATTTTGTTTACTTACTTTCCTTGTATATCATATATCATAGAAAATTTTGAAAACCTAATTAAGATTATATTGTTTTCCATTCTGCTTTTTTCACTTAATACAAATATTGCCACTGTCCCTTCTTACCAGCCCTACTTTCTTTATCAGTTAATATCTGAAGTTTTCTTCGTTTAGGATCTTAGCTGAAAGGGAAGCACCCGATTGCAGAATTGAAAATGGAAAACACTGAGCTCTGAACAGGCAGACCGCATTCTAGTATGAATCTGCCTCTGTCTGGCTAAGTAAATAATCATGATTAAGTTACTTGATTTCCTTGGACATCTGGATACCTAAAATTAAAGAATTAGACAAGAAAACAGTTAATATTTCCTTCGAGCTTTAGAAATCTATGTATATGTGAATCACCTAAAATTTGCATGATTATTTCATACCTTTCAGGTACTTGTTCACATACTTAATTCCAGATCCTGGATACCTCCTAGAAAGTAGCTGATTTAACCCAGTCTGTTGATATATTTATTAATTACGCTCCTACTCATTTGCCATCGTTAATTATATACATTGAGTGAATAGAAAACTGTGTTATCTTCATTTATTTTAATATGTTCTATTCAGAGGTATGAAGAATTATTTTCCTTTTTTTGGTTACTGAATTTTCAGACTGTGTTTGGAGTTGGCTGTGCCCATAAACTGAACAAGATTTCTTGAGGCTCCTTCCAGCTTTTGTATTTGTAGAGCTGATTTTTTTTTTTCAGATTGTGTCTATTATATTTCAGATGCTGAGATGAATCGTCACCTGTGTGCTTGGCTTTTTAGACATTCATCTCTTAATGGTCCTCTCCAGTACCACTTCCATCCCCAATCTCATCAGGTTACACAGATCCATTTTGATACAAGGCTGTGGATTTTTAGACAAAGCAGGAATCCCATTCTCCACCATCTGTTAAATAAGAATTGTCCCAGGAGATACTGTCATCAGTCCAAGATGCTGTGGAAGCATAAAGCACTACAGAAATATATGGAGGACCTGAACGAGGAGTACAGGACTCTTGACGACTGTTTGCAGCATATGTCTGTGAATGAAGGGGACCGGAAGTCCCTGAATCGAAGGCATGCTGAGTTGGCGCCACTTGCAGCCATTTACCAAGAAATTCAGGAGGCTGAACAAGCAATTGAAGAATTAGATTCAATGTGTAAAAGTAGGTAAAAAATATGTGTGTGTAAACAATGTGATTGATTTTATAGGTTAAACCTTTATTGAACACAATCTTTTTAAAAGGCTCGAATGGCTGCACTCTGTACTTGGAGAAGACAGGATTTTATTCTGTGTGTTTGATGTATTTTGGCTACTAAAAATCAACTATTAAGAGACTGAGCTCCTCATGGTGCTTACCAAGAAGTTTTTAGGGTCTAGGCGACTGAATATTAACCTTTACAGAAGCTTTAATTTATTGAGCAGGCCTTTCCTGAGCACTGTCCTGCGTATGTAGCAGAGACACAAAAATGCAGTTTCTACCCCAGCAAAGGGCTGTAGGGTCCAGGTATTATTTCATCATCCCAGAAAGAACCCTGCACCTTGTGGCCACTTGCCCCAATTTCCCCTTCCCTGCCAACCCGAGGCAAGAGCTCATTTATTTTCTAGATTTCCTTATTTCAGGCATTGTATATAAGTGGAGTCATATAATATGTCATTTGTGACTGGCTTCTTTCATTTAGCATAATATTTTCAAGTTTCATCTATGTTGTAGCATGTATTTGTACTTAATGTCTTTTTATTGTGGGACTGCATTCCATTGTATGGATCTACCACATTTTATTTTTATTTATCCATTCATCACTTACTGGATATTGAGTTGTTTCCACTTGTGGGTTGTAATGAACAGTGGCGCTACAATTACCTATCATAACTCTGCATTCAACCCTTTGAGAAGTTACCAGACTGTTTTCCAAAGTGGCTGCACTATTTTTACCCCACACTTTTGATTCTAGCCATCCTAGTGGGTATAATGATACCTGATTGTGGCTTTCATTTGCATTTCCCTGATTAATGATGTTGAACATCTTCTCACATGCCTGTTGGCCTTTTGTATCTCATCTTTGGATAAATGACTGTTCAGATCCTTTGTTCATTTTTAAAATGAGTTATTTGTCCTGTTATTGAATTGTGAGACTTCTTTATATTATAGCCACAAATTCCTTATCAGATATATGATATGCAAAATTTTCTTCTATTCTATGGGTTATCTTTTGAAGCAGCATAATTTTTTTTTTTTAAGGTCCTATCCATTTATTTGACACAGAGAGACAGTGAGAGAGGGAACACAAGCAGAGGGAGTGGGAGGGGGAGAGGCAGACTTCCCGCCAAGCAGGGAGCCTGATGTGGGGCTCTATCCTAGGACCCTGGGATCATGACCTAAGCGGAAGGCAGACAATTAACTGACTGAGCCACCCAGGCCCTAAGCCGCACAATTTTTGAATTTTGATGATGTCAAATTTATCTTTTTTTCTCTTGTTGCTTATGGTTTTGGTGTCCTAGCTAAGAAATTTTTGTGTAACCCAAGGTTACAAAGAGTACATCTGTGTTTTCTTCTGACAGTTCAATTTTTTAACTTTACATTTAATTCTTTGATCTATGTGAGAGATGTTTATTTTTAGTTTTGGTATTTCTTAATATTGCTTATTGCCTTAACATTTTTTCTCATATGAAAATTATCAAAATGTACTGAAGTTGAGAGAAAGGCGCAGTGGACTAACCTGGGATTCAACATTTATCGAGATAGTACTACAGGCTTTTAGTTTCTAAACTTCTGTGCTCCATCCTGTTCCATTAAGTGTTAGAGATGTTAAACGATGTCAAGGCCAGTCACAGTTATAACTGTAAAGTCCTGGATTTTCTGTCGTCTGTTGGTGGTACCGTGAGTCTCTCACTATGTTTATGAGGATTTTTTTTTTTTTTTTTTTCCTTTTTTTTTTTGCCCCTCAAATTTGTAATCCATTAGTTTGGGGAAGGTTCTTTGCATATAATAGGATTTTACTAAATGCTTCTAAATTGAATTGACATAATCTCTTTCAGCCTCAATTGTATCACCATTATACAATGGTGTATACATTGTATCACCAGTATTATTGAGATTGGATTGGATTGTTTCCAAAGTCTCTCCTAGGTCTAAAGTCCTGCTATTCTGTAATAACAGTGATAAAAGTGACATTTACTGTCCTACCATGTGCCAGACACTAAGCTAAGTATTTTATAAATATTATCTCATTTGAGTATTTATAATAATTTATGAGATAGGAATTATTATTAATGTCCCCATTTTATAGATGAAGAAACTGAGAGCTTAAAATGTCAGAGGTCACTCAGCCAATCAGGCAAGGAGCAAGGATTTGGACTCAGTGAGATTCCACAGCTTGTCTTATCCACTGCATGAGTCCAGTTCCAATAGAGTCTGCCTCTGCCTCTGTAGTGTACCCTTAGTCCCCTTCTATTCTTTCTGCTAATTTATATCTTTATTATAGCTCATCCTGGATAATTACAATACATTCCTAACTTTTTGTGCCACTTCCAGGCTTTCCCAGTCCAAGTACAACCTTAATCAGATTACTCCCCTGCTCAAAATTTTCAGTAGCTCCTGTTGCCTATAAATATAAATTTCTCGATTTGGTATTTAAGAGCCTTTGCAGAAGGGCCCGTGGGTGGCTCAGTCACTTAAGCATCTGCCTTCAGATCAGGTCATGATCCCAGGGTCCTGGGATGGAGTCTGGTCTGCTCTCTCCCTGGTGCCCCTCTCCAAACCCCACTTGTGCTGTCTCTCTCTCTCATAAATTTAAAAAAAAAAAAAAATCTTAAAAAAAAAAAGGAGCTTCTGAAAACTGACACCAGCCTCTCTGTATAGTGTATTAATTCCCTTTGCATATGGAAACCTTCCAAGAAAAATAGATAACTTGCTGTTCCCTGAATATACACATCATCCCATTTCTGTCTTTGCACAAATTGTTACTCACCAGTTTTACCTTGTTAAAATTCATTTCACTTAAAAGTATGGCTTGGATATCATACTTTGGCTTCAGTCCCCTCTATAAAACAAAAATGTTATCTTTCTCTGTTTTGAATTTTGATCCTTTATGTAATTGTCTTAATTTCTGCCCCTTCCCTCATTATCTGTTTCTCAAAGACAGAGCCTGTGTCTTACTCATTTTTATATTTCCTGCAACACTGAACATAGGATATAATAGAATCTCAAATCTTTCTTGATATAATGAAACTGAATTAGGTTAGATTTCAGACATCAGAAAATAATAAGAGGCCACAAAAATAATTTTATGTGACTGCATATCAGGTTTTTCTGATATCTTTGACACAGTAGGTACCTATACGGAGTAATGTCAGCCTAGTGTCCATTTGTGGCGTAAGTACATGATATGGGGCCACTAGTGATATTACAATTCTGCAACAGGTGATCCATAATTAGAATTTAGTTCAGAGGACATCTCTCCAGGAAGCCTTCCTCAAGTGCTAAGGTCTGGGTTAGACCCCCTCCTTTGTGCCTCCATGGCACTGTCCTATCCCATACTGTACTCATGTGTACATGTCCTATTTCCCACCAGACTGAGCAACTTAAGGCCTGGAACCACATTTTATTCATCCCTGTGTCCCCAACAACTAGCAGAGTATCTGGTGCATAATAAGTGTTAGATGTTGAAGGTATGTATGAATGAGGAATAGAGTCCCACCAGGTGTTAATGACTTCCATGACCAGGGAAGAAGTTTCAAGAGCCTTCTCTGTTTTATAATTAGGACTTTTCATTTATGTTTTCTTCTTTGCTATTAAGAATCAAACATTTCTACATCAGCTGGCAAGGATCACTACTAACAAATGAAGTCTAGGTATCCAGAGCAATGGAGTCAAAGGTTGTAAGATCTACTATCTCATTGTTAGCTTTTTTGTTGGGAGTTCCGGGATTTAACTTTCTCTCTTGAAATGATGTGAAAAGGACAATTGTTTCCATAAAACAGAAGTTACAAAGATGTTTCATTTGACTTACACGGTGCTTTTAAAAAGTGTTCATTAGGTATAAACATTTCAGGAGATTTCAAAATTCTAAGAGTTCTTATTTCTGACTTTGGGGGGAAGAAAATGGAGTCTTCAGCCCTCCCGGATTACAGCACAGTGTGCTGAGTAGTGGCTGTTACCTTTAAGACAAGATGTGGTCACTCCAGTTTACTCCAAAACTTACCTTATTTGGGTCTATATTTAATTAACCAGTCCTTTTTCAGACTTGTTTTATTAATCATTGATTTCTGTAATTAGTTTTAGACATTCAAATCATAAACTTTTAGGCAATCATCATACTTCCTTACACACTGAGTTTTTTTAGACGTGCTTCACAAGTACTTATTAATTAATTAATATTCTCCAACTATCCTGACCTTTTGTATAATCCCTCCTTCACAACTGAAATAAAATTTATAAACAGAAATTAGCTAGCTATTTAAGAGTTTTCCTGTATTTAAAAACATAATTTTTGTTGATGGTTTGTAGGTCTAAATAAACAAGATGAAAAGCAGTTACAAGAACTCGCATTGGAAGAGAGGGAAACCATCGCTCAAAAAATCCATATGTTATACAGTGAGGTATGTTTTAGGAGGTAAACTGCTCAATTGTGTTACTATAACAGAATACTGTTTTACGAGGCTGTACTTTGGTGTTCAAAGTACTTTCCAAACACCGGTTTATTAAACCTTCTGTTATGGTGAATGAGTAAGCTGGGTTTAGTACTGTAATTTGCTACAGAATGAGGTTGAACCAATTGGGATGCCAGAGAATAAAACATCATCTCCCCCCTCACCTCCACGAACAATTATGTTCCAAAGCTGTTAACTTGCCAGCCAAGGCGGCAGATGCTGGTAAAGAAACTTAGTTCACCAAGAGGAAGAATCGGGTTTTTAAGCCTTAGAAAAGGGGAGTGGTACATAGTGATTGTGTTAATTAAGGATCGAAAATTTGCTTTCTGTATAGAGTGGAGTGAATCCAAAGGTACAGACACAGTTGGTTCATACCAAGTCTTTAGCTCCTTGTAGTTCAATAGATGATTTGTCTAAAAGACAATGAAAACCACAGGGCTGTATAGCATCTGTAGTTTCTTCCCTTCTGTCCTGTTTGCCCTTGTCCTGCTTTCGGTCCCCCTATTCTGGAACTCCATAGAGGGGCTCGTTGAGGGGAATGAAGTAGAGGTATCAGTTACTGTTATCACTGATTTAACCAGCAAGTCAAAGGCAGAAAGGCTGTCACTTTTGGTCTGCTATTCCCTCTCACAGATTACCATTTCTAACAGAGATGGAGTATTTCAAAAATTGGCAGTAGGGAGAGTCATGGCTTTGATTTGAAAAATTTTTCACTAATAAATAAAAAATAAAATTGCATCCCTTTTCTCCTTTAGAAGAAAGCTAGTTACTTTATTAGGAAGCCCCTTGTTTTCTTGTCACGGCTCAGAAACTATTTCAGCCTTATCCTGGGAGTCCTCAATATATTCTCTAAGCAGAACAGCTCTACTGAGAACAGAGGGCACGACCTGGGGCCAACTGTCATCTGTGGCAGGAGAAAATACACAATCATGTGTAACGAGGCCTCATTTTCTCCAAGTGAAGACTTTTCAAAGCTTCACATCATTCATTAGATGAAAGAAGCTGCTGTTTAGAGCTAATAAGAGGCAAAATCTGAAAAAAATTGAATGGAACGCTCCGGACTTTGATTTAAACTTGGGCATTTTAGAAAATTAAGATAATCTGATAGCATTGTGGAGAATACCCTGACAAGTAACTCCATTGTTAGCATGAGTTGATCACTTATTTTAGGTCTAATGCAGTCTACTTATTGCAGCATTTAATGACTAGACCTCATTGGGATACTATATAATTTTCTTAATCACTGACTTTTTTTGAATGTTTGTAGGTCTTTTGTCTAAAATCAAGCAATAGTATAATCATGGAAAATATACATACAAATGCTGATCTTTTTTTCCTTTTTCAGCTTTTCCAGAGTCTAGTGCCAAAGGAGAAATATGACAAAAATGATGTTATTTTAGAGGTGACATCTGGAAGAACTACTGGAGGTCAGTTAAATAATTTTATTGTAAATAATCTTAAAAAACACTTAAATTTTACCTTGGTTGGATACTGTATAACTTTAACAGTCCAGTAGATGTGTTTCACTATGGAAACAGTTATTCTTGTTTCCCAGGGGGCCTGTACCTAAGAATGGCTCTCTTTAAAACAATCTGTGCTGACTGAATATTTTTTGTATTTTTGTAGGTGATATCTGCCAACAGTTCACTCGTGAAATATTTGATATGTACCAGAATTATTCAAGCTATAAAAACTGGAAATTTGAACTCCTGAATTATACACCAGCTGATTATGGTAGGGATATTTGAGGGTTTAGTCCATAGATGATGCTGAGAATTATTTTATCTCTGATCTTGATTAGAACTATGTTGTCCTATTTTTTTTAAAGATTCTACTTATCTATTTTTGCAAGAGAGAGAGCACACATGAGTTGGGGGCGGGCAGAGGGAGAAGCAAACTCCCCGCTGAGCAGGTAGCCCAATGTGGGACACGATCCCAGGAATTTGGTATCATGATCTGAGCTGAAACCAAGAGTTGGACACTAAAGTGAGTCACCTACGCACCTCAAGTCCTTAAACTTTTAAATACTTAGTTATGTTAAATCAGAACATCTGATAATATCTTTGTTCCTCATTCTTTTAAGCCATATGAAAGTTTGTTTCTTCTTGCTTATATATTGATACCCAATAATAAAGTAGGGAAAGGGGATTAAAGTAAGTTAAACAATAGAGAAAAATGAAAGCTAGTATCTAGAATAAGTAAGTTGTGCTTGGTATTTTTTTATTTTTTATCTTTTTAAAGATTTTATGTATTATTTGACAGAGTACAAGCAGGGGGAGCAGCAGGCAGAGGGAGAGGAAGAAGCAGGCTCCCCACTGAGCAGAGAGCCTGATGTAGGACTTGATCCCAGGACCCTGAGATTACAACCTGAGCCAAAGGCAGATGCTTAACGAATTGAGCCACCCAGGCTCCCTTGGTACAGGTTTTAAATATGGCAACTGGTCAAGGAGAGGGAATTGAGAGAAGAGGGAAGAAAAAACCAGAGCAACCACATGGTGGTGGGAAAGATCTTGATGTGTGTAGGGCAATGTTAGGAAGCTAGTCTACCCAGAGCATATCTGTGACAGGAAGACATAGTAAAAGGTGAAAGATACATATGATCAGAAGAGAAACCGGAGTATGTGAAGACATAGGAAATGAGTTCCAGGGGGTAGAGTTTGAACAGCCTCAAAAGCAGAACAGGCCTTTGTTAGGGAGTAACGACCTGTTGAAGATTTTATCAGTAAGCGTATGATCTGGGGGCACCTGGTTGCTGCCGTCGGTTAAGCCTGCAGCTCTTGGTTTCAGCTCAGGTCATGACCTCAGGGTTGTGAGCTTGAGCTCCATGTCCAGTTCTGTGCTCAGTGTGGAGTCTGCTTCAGACTCTCTCTCCCTCTGCTTTCCCACGCCCTGCTCCCTTGCTCTCTCTCAAATAAATAAATAAATAAATCTTAAAAAAAAAAAAAGGCACGATTTGGTAAATACATATCTTAGGGAGATTATTAGATAGCATTGTGTGGGATGGACCAAGAGGTTCGATTTAAGGCAAAGTGCAGAGCGGTTGCTAGAGCAATCCAGGTGTGACTAAGACTTAGACCTGGCATAGACCTTGGCAGACCTTCACAGGAAGAGCGGACAAAAGACGGGCCAGCGCTTGCTCCTGTGTCCTGCATACAGTGTAGGTGATCTGATCCTCACGGCCCTGTGAGATAGGTAGTATCAGTCCCATTTTACAGATGAGGAGCTGGGTTTAGAGAATAAGTGACTGATCCAAGACCACACAGTACATAATGGCAGTCCTGGGATTGAACTTAAGTTTGTCAGATCCAGAACCACACTACATCCTAGTAGTCTGATCTAACGCAAACAAGATGAGCCACGGGGATCCTGATCTTCCTAGCCAGAAAGACTGTGATATTCGTTCAAGTTGGAGAGCAGAGCCCATATGGGAAGAAAAAATGATAAGTTGTTTTTGAATGACTAACTCTGTGGTTATTGTGAACACCCATTTAGAAATATCCAGTAAATGCTGAAGTTGTGTCAGCAGAGCTTTGGTGAGAGAACAGAATGAAGGAGAGAGATTCAGTAGCCCTTAGCATAAAGGTGGTATCTGACACAGAGATTATGTGAGGGAGAGGCTAGGGAGAAGGAATATTCAGGGCGCCAAATCCTACGTAATGGCCACATTGAGAAAGATTGACTCTTGGCAAAAGAAAGAGAGGAGTGAGATAAGCAGGAAAAGGACGAGTACAGTATAATATTATGGAAGCTAGAGATGGGAGAGTTTCAACTTTCAGGAAGCTTTCAGGAACAGCAGCATTTTGGGACATCTGGCTGGCCCAGCTGATGGAGAATGTGACTCTTCATCTTGGGGCTATAGGTTTGAGCCCCACTTTGGGTGTGGAGCTTACTTAAAAAAAAAAAAAAGTCTTTAGAAATACAGCATTCTGAAAGAGAGAATGGTGGCAAATGTCAGCAGTGACCTCTCTCAGATATTTTGAAGCCAGCTTTTAAGAATGAAGGATGAGCTCAGTAATAACAGGAAGAGTGATTTGGTTCCAGGGACGCAGAGCAGCCTGAACAATCCCTAGACAGTGGTTGGGAGACCTTTCTTTTAGATAGACTGGCTTAGTGACAAAATAAAATAAAGGTACTTTAAGAAGTAAAAAGAGCAGGAGACACACCAGATGGCTGGGTTGGTTGAGCATCCGACTCTCAATCTCAGCTCAGGTCTTGATCTCAGGGTTGTGAGTTCAAGCCCTGCATTGGGCAGTACAAACTGGGCATGGAGCCTACTTAAAAAATTAAAAAAAAACTTTTTTAATTAAAAAAAATAATCTAAAGGACTATTTTTTTAAGGAAGGGAAACTTTAAATATTTTACTCTAAAGACTAGGAGGGACACCTGGATGGCTGGGTCAGTTTAGCATCTGCCTTTGGCTCAGGCCCTGAGCTCAGGACATGATCCCTGGGTCCTAGGATTGAGTCCCATATCCGGTTCCTGCTCAGCGGGGAGCCTGCTTCTTCTACCTGCTGCTCCCCGTATTTGTGCTCATGCTTTCTCTCTCTCTCTCTCTCTGATAAATAAAGAAAGAAAGGTTAGGAGTAAACCTCTACTCATTAAAATTAGAAAATAATATATAAAAATTGATCTATTTGTAATCAGAAGAAAAATGTGTGAATAGGAGGACTAACATAGAGAAGGGGTGAGAAACACCTTTCTTATAAAATACGCTTACTATGTGTACATGTGTATATACATGTGTATATGTGTATGTGTATATATATAATATATATTATTTATTATATTAATTAATTAATAATTATATTATTAATATGTAGTATTATATTTATTTATATATATAAAAATATGTATATATATTTTAATGTTTAATTGAAACGGAGAGGAACTCAAAATCATACAGCACTAAAAGCTAAGGTTGAAAAGAAACATACTTTCAGGCAAAAATTCACGCATCAGGTGACTTAGAGCCTTGTAATTTTGCGGTTGGAGGTACAGATAGGGACAGTACTCAAGTATTCCATGAATAGTCCAAGCTAAATGATTACAGGATGGTTTTTGTGGCAGCAGGGGAGGGCGATAGCTCTGGGTACGTAGTGTAGGTCTGACGCTTTGTTATTCTGGGTACTTGGCATCTGACAAATTGAAATCTCTTCCAAGTTAAAGGGATTCTATGAAATGTTCTGTTATCTCTTCCTTCCCAACAGATTAATGTTTATAATTGCATCTTGTTATTTTCTGCTTGCTAGTTAAATTCAGGGAGAGGTCACTTCAGGTAACACAATGGTTAGTTCTACGTGTCCAGAAGACATACTTCTTACCATGAGTGTGAGAAATAAATTTGTAAGGGGAACCCTGGCATCCTTGAAGGGCTCTGTGATGGCTCTTCTCTGTGGGCCAGACTCGACGGTAGGAGCTCTGGTAACTAAACTGGGAAACCTAAGTGAACTGGAAGTCATCCCCTCAGGATGGCAGGGGTCAAGGGTAGCAGTCACAGCCAAAGGCCAGATGAGTGTGGTTACTGTCACGGACGTCAGAGCCAAGGCAGCAATCGGAGTTGTCTGACTTTTGCAGCCCTGTGGCATTCGCTAGTTGATCATGGTGCCCCTAGAAGTAAAAGAGATAGTAAGACTAGTAAATTCTCACTTACCTGTATGAGCAGGAAAGTTTTAGATCAAGTGAACAAAAATGTAACTTTAATCATAAAAACAAGCCATGGCCCCTTGGTCAGTTCTCAGACTTGAGCCAGTGGATAGGCCCAAACCCCTTGAATAAAGAGGGGGTGGGGTCCCCTTGAGGAAGGACCCCCATATATTGCCAAGTACTTATGCTGTTGACCCTTCTCCCAGCCTCCTCCCAAAAGGGGTCTGTCGCCTTTTCCCAGGGTAACTATGCCTTAGAGAAATGGAAATAACCAGACTTTGCAGGGACTACTGGACACTGGCTCTGAACTGATGCTAATTCTGGGAAACCCAGAACATCTCTATGGCCATCCATTAGAGAAGGAGCTTGTGGAGTCATGTGATGAATAGACTTTTAGCTCAGGTCCTGCTCTCAGTGGGCCCAGCAGACTCCCAAACCCATCCTGTGGTGTTTTCCCCAGTTCTGGGTACATAATTGGCAGATACACTGAGCAGCTAGCAGAATTCCCATCTTCTTTCCTGACCTGTGGAAGGAGAACTGTTAATGGTGGTAAAGGCCAAATAGAAGCCACTAGAACTGCCTCTGCCTGGGAAAATAGTAAACCAGAAGCAACATTGCCTTCCCGGAGAGGTTGCAGAGATAAATGCCACCATCAAGGACTTGGAAAGTGCAAAGTTAGTGATTCCTGCCACATCCCCATTCAGCTTGTTTCTTTGGCCTGGAAAGACAGTAGATGGAGCTCAGTGAATGACAGTGGGTTACTATTAGCTCAGCCAACCAGTGATTCTCATTACAGCTGCTGTGCCAGATGTGGTTTCGTTGCTTGAGCTGTTCACACCCCCTGGCACCCGGTGTGCAGCTGTTGATCTGACAAATGCTTTTTCCCTCCATACCCATCCATGAGGACCACCAAAGGCAGTTTTCTCTGAGCCGGCAAGGCCAGCAGTGCACCTCGCTGTCCTCTACCTCAGAGGTCTATCAGCTCTCCTGCCCTACATCATAATTTCCATTTACAGGGATCTTGATCATCATTCTCTCCCACATTGTCTTGAACTGGTCCAGGAGAGCCAATGATACAGTTCCAGTGACTACTGATACTTACGGACGGTAAATATCAACACTGCTAAGTACACTGCGAGTGTTTATCTCAGTTATTCCTCACAACAGCCGCTTCGAGGGAGGGAGGTTGAGTTCAGGCTGTGTCATATGCTTACACAGGACTTGAAGCACGACTCTGGTGATCTGCAGTATGAATGGCCTCTCATTCAGGTGCGCGGTACTGTGATGCGAGCTGTAATTACCATTTACAGAAGAGGAAACTGAGGCATGAACAAATGAAGTAATTTGCCTGTGGACACACAACTAGCAGGAAGAGCTTAAATTTGAACCTAGGCAACCCAAGATTGGCTCTGGTAATCTGTACAGTAAAGCCGCCCTCTCCTTTCAGGTCATATAAATTTAAAATATGTGCCCTGGACATGAAGTAGGTAAAGGGGGTGAGGGGAATAATTTTTAAAGTACAGAATGAGGGGCGCGTGGGTGACTCAGTGGTTTGGGCTTCTGCTTTTGGTTCAGGTCATGGTCTCATGGTCCCAGGGTCCTGGGATCAAGCCCCACATTGGGTTCTCTGCTCGGTGGGGAGCCTGCTTCCCCCTCTCTGTCTGCCTGCCTCTCTGCCTACTTGTGATCTATCTCTCTGTGTCAAATAAATAAATAAATAAAATCCCCATGATCCTGGGATCATGACCTGAGCTGAAGGCAGGGGCTTTTACCCACTGAGCCACCCAGGTGCCCCTAAATAAAATCTTAAAAAAAAAAAAAAAACAAAAAAAAACAATGATTTCGAGGTGGAAAATTTTAATTGTTGTGGCCTCGCTCTGTCTCAGTTTTGAGGTATTTTTCAGAGTTGACCATCTTGACTATACCGAGTGTGAATGGTAAACATTACATTTTTCCTATCACCTGATCCCTAAATGCTTGTCATCTTCTTTATCCGGCGTTCAAGAAGATAAACAGTAACCTGTTCCACCGCTGGAGGAAGACTGGCTATTTTGGACTTACTTTTTTTTTTTTTTTTAAGATTTTATTATTTGACAGAGAGGGAGAAAGCACAAGCGGGGGGCGGGGAGGTGTAGAGATAGAGGGAGAATAAGGCTCCCCACTGAGCAGGGAGCCCAACATGGGGCTCGATCCCAGGACGCTGGGATCTTGACCTGACCTGAAGGCAGACTCTTAACCAACTGAGCCACCCAGGCACCACTGTGTGGGACTTACTAAAAGACAGGTCAGTCTCTCATAAGGTACCTTCCTTTGGCATTTTGTACGGTAATTTAAAACTATGCCCAATTTTTATCCACCATGCTGACTTTATTTATTTATTTTTTTCTCAAAGATTGATTTATTGAGAGGGAGAGACAACAAGTGTATGTGAGTGGGAGGTGGGGCAGAGAGAGAGAGAGAGAGAAGTAGACTGCCCGCTGAGCTCGGGCCAGAGCTCATGACCCATGAGATCATGACCTGAGTGAAACCAAGAGTCAGACACCCAACTGACTGAGCCATCCTGGTGCCCCACCAGGCTGACTTTAGAAACTGAGTGGGTTAGATCTGACGTTGTAGCACTGAGTCTTCATTAGAAGCATATTAGGAACGTGGCAGCAGCAGTAACAGCATAGTTAAGGAAAGGAAATTTGAGTTAAGGATTTTATAAGCAACGAAACTAACTTACAGGTATAAGGATACAAACTTAACAATATGCAAGAACTCAAGAAACACTTTCCCCATGGTCCCTTTCTGAGGAATCTGTTAGAAAACAGGACTTTAGACAGCTAAAATATGAAGTTTTGGCATAGGGATAGGGGTGAACATCAGATATGTGGCTACCTGTAGAACTGAGTCTGTATGGGTGCGTGGGTGGCTCAGGCAGTTAAGTGTCTGACTTTGGCTCAGATTATGATCCCCGGGGTCCTGGTTTTAAATCCCACATTGGGCTCCTTGCTTAGCAGGGAGTTTCTTCTCCTTCTGCCTCACACTTCCACCCATGCTTAGGTGCATGCGCTCTCTCTCTCTCTAACGAACAAACAAAATCTTTAAAAAAAAAAAAAAAAGACCTAGGTCTATTTGAGGAGAAGGAGGGAAGAATACACTATATAACCACTGTAAGATCTGACAGTATAGAGTACAGCCATTTGAAAAATGGGGGAAGAACAGGAAGAGCATATGCAAAAAAGTTTTAATGTTTTTAGTAATCATGTGGCAGAACTCGCATTGTTACTCTGAGACTGTTGTGTGTGTACCGTGGAATAAAGTAGATGAGTAGTTAGGAGATATTCTAATTGTAGTATCTTCTCTGTCATTGAGAACCAGATTCTTGGTATAGAAGACAAGAGTGATAGAGAAGAGGCTGTCATCTTGAATTTACACTGGAAATACCAGTAGTCAAGAACTCCACATGGTCTGAGATTTTACCCCACTTGCAAGCTAACAAGTTAGCATGCCACACTTTCATGGGTCAGAGGTGGAGGATGGTTTATTACTCACAGAAACAGTAACCAGAATATCAACATTTTTGTGCTGGTTCCATGAGCCTCAGGTCCTACATGGTGACTTGAAGGCCAGATGATACCTGCCTGTGCGGTAGGTTTCATTATACAAGAGGAATTTCGAGCTAAGTGATCTAAAATTTTTTTTTCTTCAAGATTTATTTATTTTAAAGAGAGAGCACATGAGCAGGGGAAGAGGCAAAAAAAAAAAAAAAAAGAAAAGAAAAAAGAAAAAGAAAAAATTAAGTATTATTTCTCTCTGAAAGGAACCAAGACTTCTTGGGGAGATCACTGATTTCAGGTCTGGAGCAAGAATAGTTCAGGATAATCCTGGAATATTTTGTTATACCATAATAAGAGGTGTGTCAAAAAGAACTCAGAAATTAACTTGAAGAGGTTCCTGCTGGCCAAAGATGGATACGTTGAACTTTAATCATAATAATTGCAGTTGGTTTAAACATGCTAGATGTATTCAGATCCTTGAATTCATAATGATATTTTAAAAATAGTCATCTGCAGATGATGAATCCTAACTCATATTGCAAAACACAGATACTGGTAAATGGGTAAAGGAACAGAATCAAGCATTTATCCTGCCTTTCCTGTATAACTCTAGCACAGGGTAATCAACTAGTAGACAAGGGGAAATGTCCTTTATCAATGTATTTTAGCTACTAATACCTGACAAAGAAATTACAGAATTAGACTATCACTATTTTATAACCCATGATACATTAAACATCAAAGGCTCTCAAGACCATAAAAAGAAAGAAAACAGTCATTATGTGCCTCCTGTAGTCCTGCCAAGGAGCTCAAGCTGGTGTCTCATCCGGTCTCTGGATCCATCTGCCAAATTGTAGCCAGAACAGAGGGTGGAAGATAGGTGAATTAATTGTACCAAGATTATGCAGTTGGCAAATTCATTCTGTGGGAAATTTTACAGGTCAACGTCCAGGTTCCTCCGGAGATAAGTTGGAAGGAACAAAAGAAGTAGGTGATGAGCGTGTATAGATGAAGAGCTTTAAAAGGCATCAGACTTTAGGGGGCACCTGGTTGACTCTTGATATTGAGGTTATGAGTTCGAGCCCCACATTGGATGTAGAGATTACTACACAAAAATAAATAAATACACTTAAAGAGGACGTGAAACTTTTTTAAATGGACAAGACTAGACTGTAGCACATTTAGGTAATAAAATTGTAACAGGAATGTCAGGATCATAGTTACTTGTGAGAAAGGAGGGGATTGTAACTGGGAAGGGACATATGAGAGAGCTTTTGGGTGACTGACAAAGTTCTTTTTCTTCATCTTGTGGTCACTAAACCATTTGATTCATGTGATTTTTTAATGTCTGTATGTTATTTTATAATAAAAGAGGTTTTTTTTTTTAAATATGTCCAATAAGAAGAAACTAGCTTAGGCATTAAGATTTGGTGGGGGGAGGAGCTTATTGTCATACCACAGATGAGCAAGAGCTAAATTTCAATAGACTCTTGAGAACTTGGGAGGACCTATAGAGTTTTCCATCATTATTAAATTGTTACATTTTTGAGCGTTCTTATATATAGATACCATATCAGCCTAAGGTTGCAGAGGGCAGTTCAATGTAGAAAATGTCCCAGTATGTTTTTTCTAGTAATACTTTTATTAAAAAAAAACTTGGCTGATTATAGAAAATTTAGAAACAAAGTATAAAAAGTAAAACAAAAAAATATATTGTTGTTCAGTTCCCGAGATAAGCATAAATAATGTTTTGGTATATTTCCTTTTTTATATGACTACATTGACATTGAGAAAATACCGTCTTGTACCTATTTTATGTTCTCGTCTTTGGCTCTGTACTTGCATTCAGGCCTGAGATTAAAGGTATTTAAGATGCAGATCCCTTTCAAAAGAGAACACATTGGCATTTTTGGATTTTATGTTCCTAGGTGGGCTGCATCACGCAGCTGCCCGAATTTCTGGTGACAGTGTCTACAAGCATCTGAAGTATGAAGGTGGGATTCACCGAGTTCAGCGAATCCCTGAGGTGGGCCTGTCATCAAGGATGCAGCGCATTCACACGGGAACCATGTCTGTTATCGTCCTCCCTCAGCCAGATGAGGTAACTTCACGCACACGTTGAAAACTTACTCTCATGTAGTGGGTATTTTGCTGAGGAATCTTAGCTTCTAGCAAACTGATTTTCGGGGTTTCAAATTGAACTTTGCAGTCTCTACTGGGAAAACCTTAACTCCTCCCCAGGTAAAGTTGCCTGTCTTATGCCTGACCAAGATATTTTGTTTTCTTTAATTAGAAGCCAGTTCTCTTCATAAAATAGAATTCACAAACCTTTTCAAATCTTCTTGCTTAAGTTTTATCTTAAGAAAAATATGATTTCCACAGGTAATATGTTGAGATCAGTGATAGAATATCTGTATGGGGTCAATGTTTTATTGAAGCCAGCCATATTGCCTCTATCTTTTTTCCTAACTTTTTAAAATTTAATTTTAAACATATAGAAAATTGGAGGAATACCACTCTAAAAACTTATATAACCTTCACCTGGAGTCAACACCTGTTTATATTTTGCCACATTTGCTAGATTCCTATACATGTGTGTATGTATACTTTTTTTAAAATAACTATGAAGAATATAGCAGTCACTGTGAGACTTTATCCCTCAAATCTTCAACTTAACATCTCCTAAGAATAGGACGTTCTTCTACCTAAATGATGCCATTGTTTGTCCATCGACTGATGAACAGATGAAGTTGTGGTGCATATACCACAATGGAATATTACTCAGCCATCAAAAAGAACGAAATCTTGCCATTTGCAGCAACGTGAATGGAGCTAGAGGGAATTATGCTAAGCGAAATATGTCAGAGAAAGATAAGTGCCATGTGATTTCACCTATATGTGGAATTTAAGAAACAAAACATAAACATAGGAAGAAAGAGAGAGAGGGCAAACCGTAAAAGAGGCTATTAACTATAGAGAACCAAACTGAGGGTTGTTGGAGGGGAAGTAGGTGGGGCGTGGGCTAAGTGGGTGATGAGCACTAGGGAGGGCACTTGTGTGATGAGCACTGGGTATCATATGTAAGTGATGAGTCCCAAAATTCTGAAACTAATATTACACTATATCTTAACTGGAACTTAAAAATTTAAGAAATAAATAAATAATTAAATTGGGTATAATAGCTCAACCCCATAATTTTTCTTTTTTGGGGTGGGGGAAAGGCAGAGGGAGAGGGAGAGAGAATCTTAAGCCGACTCTATGCCCAGCGAAGAACCCAACATGAGGCTCGATCTCACGATGCTGAGATCATGACCTGAGCCGAAATGAGGAGTTAGACACTTAACCAGCTGAGCTACCCAGGCGCCCCAACCCCATAATTCTTCTGTAGGGATTAAATGAGACACTAAGGGTTATGCACTTGTCCCCAGGAACCAATAGATTGGAGAACTTTGTATAATATCAATAATAAAATTGGAAAAGTTATTAGAAAAAATACCATTAGCTATGAAACTCAAACACAAGTCTGTAATATTTCTATGAAAGACTCCTGTGCATGTCTCCTCACAGAATACTTCTCCACTCTAAATATGTCAAGTTTTTTCTCTCACCAGGCAATTTCTTCAATTCTGTGTGGACACCAAGTTAAGTATCCTACAAGGCAATTCAGTTCTGACAGCGTCTACTGGGGAATAGCTAAGAGCTCAGCCTCACAGCACTTTATTCCCTCCTACTTCAGAGGCCAGTCACAAGTCCAGCTTGTCACCTGTGCTTCCCACCAAGTCGCTATGAATTGAGAGGTTTCCACAACCCCTTCCTTGGGTTCAGTAATTTACAAGAGTGGCTTATAGAACTCAGACTCCCCACTGAGCATGGAGCCCTGTGTGGGGCTCACTCCCATGACCCTGAGATCATGACCTGAGCCAAAATCAAGAGTCGGACACTCAACTGACAGAGCCATCCAACGCCCTCAACCTTTTTTTTTTTTTTTTTTAATGCCACTATTTTTTTGAAGAGTCTGGAGCCTTCATCTTGTAGGGTGTCCCACATTCTGGATTTGTTTCCTCTTGGTACTCTTCAACTTGTCCTTTTATCCCATTGCATTCAGGTCACAGGTTTTGAGCGGGAATACTTTATAGGTGTATATTCATGTTGCATCTTATCAGAAGGCACATAATCTGAAATTGTCTGATTTTCAGTGAAGATGACCACAAAACCAGCTCCATCATAAAAGTGTATTTTTTTCTCTTTGTAGTTACTAAATAATGCCTGCGGTACATAATAGCCTATTTCCAACAACTTTTCTTCCACAATCGTAACATCCATTAGTGATCTTTTTTGCCTGAATCAGTTATTTCATTTGGGGTGGAAGATGGTGATTTTGTAACTCTGTCATTCTATATTTATTACCTGGCATTCTTTTCTGTCAAGAACTTTCCTCCCTACTACCTTCTCTCCTCCTTCCTTCTTACTTGCTTTCTCTTATTTTACCTCATGATAAACTCAATATTATTTCATCTGTTGACTTCATTATAGACTTACATATTTGTTCTTTAAATTGTGTGAGTTATAATTACTATGGTTTTTGATGTTCAAACTTGTCCCTGATTTGGCCAGTAGTAGCCTTTTTAGGGGAGTCCCTTTTGCAATGACCCCATCAATTTTTAAGCATACCCTTGCTTTCTGGTATAATTAGATATCCTAAGCCCACCTTCTGCCTTTCTGCCCTCAGACTTGGGAGTCAGATCTCATTTTTTGTGGGGAGAAATGTACCCAGAAACCAAGGTGTAGGTACTAGGTACGCTCATCATTACTAAAGTCTGCTTGTGTTTAGATTTTGCAGCGGACAGAGCTAGGAGATACATAGGAGTTTAACACGGGTTCAAGTTATTATTACCAACTCAAAGTTAACATTACAGGGAGTTTTCCCCCTCACCATCTTGTATTTATATCTCTTCCCACTTAGAGTAAAAAGTTTTATTTCTTAATCACTTAATGCGTTTACTTTTTTCCTTATTTATATAGCATATATAAAAACTTAAAAAATTACTTTGTAAACTACTGAGCAATGTTTAAGATTTCTGTCCTTAGAATATAGTCCACCAAGAAAGCATAGTCAGAACGCGATGTTCAAAGACCATCAGAAATAATGTTTTTCTGTTTGGTTATGATATCATTACGGTAAATATTTTGAATATTAGGATTTGATTTTTCCTTCCTCTTTTATCTAATTTCATTTTTGGTGTATGGAAGCATTTATGTCTCTCAGAAATCAAAACTATTAAGTTGTCTTTCTTTTTCTTTTTTTTAAAGATTTTTTTTTTTTTTAATTTATTTGACAGAGATCACAAGTAGGCAGAGAGGCAGGCAGAGAGGTGGGGGAAGCAGGCTCCCCGCTGAGCAGAGCACCTGATGCAGGGCTCAATCCCAGGACCCTGAGATCATGACCTGAGCCAAAGGCAGAGGCTTAACCCACTGAGCCACCCAGGTGCCCCTTAAGTTGTCTTTCTTAACTCCTTATTCCTTCCACTGTTCTCACCCATCCCCTTATTCTTTTCACATTCTTGGAAATTAAACCCATGTACTGGAGTTTGCTTTTTGTAAAAGAGCAAAGTCTTGTTCTCTTAATTGACATTTAAAATTCTTTGTATATTATTAAGTCACTGGTTCTTTGTTCAGAATTTCCCAACATTCATTAGGTAGTTTCTGTAACACTTGGGAGAATATGACATATAATATACGTATATTTGCTATATAACTACTTAATATACTGTAACCACAAAAATGGGAAATTGCTGTTCATCTCTTTAGTGTTTATTGAAATTTTAAGGTAGCCAACACTGGCATATTTTAAAAAAGCTGAATACTTTTTTTTTTTCCCCCACAGTAGAGTATTCATTTTAGAGGAAATAAAAGAATAATCACGCTGTATAGTAGATTATAAAATTGACCCTGTTACTACTGTGCTTTACAAAGAGTCACACTTGCTGTCATTCGTACAAATGAATGGTAAATGTGAAATAAGATGTTAGTTCTCTCATGAAAAACAGCATATTTTGTACTATTTTTCTGTGTGTGTGTGTGTGTGTGTGTGTGTGTGTGTGTGTGTAACAAATAGGTGCTTAAAACAATAAAAAATTATTGTCTAACAGTTCTAGAGGCCAGGAGTGCAAACTCAAGGTATCTCCAAGGCTGTGCTGCTCCCTCCAAAACTTCTAGGTGGGGGAGGGATGCTCCCTTGCCGTCCCCAGTTTCTGGTGTCTCCAGGTGTCCATTGGCTTGAAGCTGTGTAACTCTGAATGCACGTGTTCCTCTTGTCCTCTCTCTCCTGAGCTGTCTGAGGGCACTTCTCATTGGATTTAGGACCTGTCTGAGTAACCCAGGATGATCTCATCTGAACTCAATTACAGCTGCAAAAACTCTTTTTCCAAGTAAGGGTCTAGTGGTTAGAATGTGAACTTATCTTTTTGGATGCCTCCATTCAGTCCACTAATCACTGCACACGCACAGTTGGTTCTCATTGTTCACGGTGGTTATGTTCTGTAAAGTCTCAGCAAATGCTGATTTAGCAAATACTGAACCATCATTTCCCTTAGGGGAAATTGTGTGTGTGTGCACACGTGCGTGTGCACATGCAGGTGTACATATGTTTATATACCTATATATAGATTTCTATATCTATGTGTCTTACGTAGATTATAATCTTAAAAGTTACCCATCCAAATAAATAAGTAAATAAATAAAATTTTAAAACAGAGGAAAGTAACCCATCTGGTTACTTAGAATAGGTTCTATTTTCTTTATTTTACAAAGAGAAAATGAGGTTCAGAAGTGTTAGGTGACTTGCCTGAGGCCACTTCACTACCAGATAGATGCCAGAATTGGGGTTCACACCCTGTCCAACTGACCCGAGAGCCAGAGCTTCTTATATTATCTTCTCTGCCCCCTCCTGTCTTCATTCTCTGGTCAGACTGAAAAAAAAAAGCAAACTGTCACTTTGTTGGGCATCAGCTGGGAATGTGCCTGTATAGGACAGCTTGGATTTTTTGCTGCCCTGCACAAGTTCTCTGGTGACTTTGAAAATGCTGTAGTAATTGATTTGGGGGAACAAATAAAGTAGGTGAATTTGCAAATACAGAATCAGGGAATAATGAAGATCACACTTACATACACACATATGTACATACATATATATATATGTATGTATATACGGAGAAAGAGTTTGTTTTCTATCCTGTGGCTTTGTGGGATGATGGATGCTGAAACTTGAAAGTTTGCATAAACTCAGTGATCTCATGGCATCAAAAGTCAGTGTCAAATATAGGGAGTTTATGGTTCTTTCATTGCTATAAGCTGTTTTTTAGTCTAATGGCTGTGACTTAGAACAACAACACAGTTTATTTGAAGAATCTTGAGATAAATTTAGTATTAAAGTATTTGTTGGGATGCCTGTGTAGTTCAGTCAGTTAAGTGTCTGCCTTTGGCTCAGGTCATGATCTTAGGGTCCTGGAATCGAACCCCATGTTGGATCCCCTGCTTGGCAGGGGGTCTGCTTCTCCATCTGCCTGCTGCACCCATGCTTGTGTGCCATCTCTCTCTCTGACAAATAAATTTTAAAAATCTTTTTAAAAAAGTTAAGTGTTTGTTGAGTGTAGAATTGACTTCCGTGTTCCCTTTTGTTCTAGGTAGATGTGAAGGTGGACCCGAAGGATTTGCGGATAGATACATTTCGAGCCAAAGGAGCAGGAGGACAGCATGTTAATACAACAGATAGTGCTGTCAGACTTGTCCATATCCCCACAGGTAATCAAGTCTGTTTGCTTTTGTACTTTTGATCTGTTTTTATGTCTTACAAAACTACTCAACATTGAGAAGAAAATAGTTTTGTGTTAGTGTCTTGTTTCTTGCCCAAACCCTTTAAAGGTGACACTGGGTCATGGGTTTTAGGTCCCCAATGTTCATATCTCACTTCTGTTTGGAAAAGGCACCTCTTGTAAAGGATGCAGACACTGAGTGTTCCTATTCCAAGAAGCTGCCCAGGTGTACTGGACAGCAATGAGCAACCAGAGGTGTCCCAGCCTTAAAAAACCCACAGAAGCAGGGCACCTGGGTGGCTCAGTGGGTTAAGCCTCTGCCTTCAGCTCAGGTCATGATCTCAGGGTCCTGGGATCGAGTCCCGCATCGGGCTCTCTGCTCGGTGGAAAGCCTGCTTCCTCCTCTCTCTCTCTCTGCCTGCCTCTCTGCCTACTTGTGATCTCTCTCTGTGAAATAAATAAATAAAATCTTTAAAAAAACAAAACAAAACAAAAAAAACCACAGAAGCAGTCCTGGACATGCCCTTGCAATGGAGCTTTTGTCATCCTCTTGTTCTAGACTGACCTCTACCTCCGCTGGTCTGTGTTGCCTTAATGCTGTTATTTTGAATATTGGTAATTTTGGTATACTGTGAAGTAGTTTTGCAGCCCTTACTGTGATTTTAAATATTTCTATCATTTTTCACTTCTCTCCACTTCTATCACTTTACTTCTTTCAATTTCAAGCTTTTAAAATTTCCTTTTTAAAATTAATTCTTATGTTATATGTTAAATGGTTTTAAAGGCCAGTGGGAAAATCCTTTAACAAAAACCGGCAGCTCCTAACATGTCTTTTTTCTCCCCCTCCCCCCTGCCTTGACCCTAACGTCCCATTAGCCACAGGCAACCAGTTTAAAACTCTTAGTTACTTTTTCCTGGTAATTACCTCATTCTAAATAGTAGGCAGATCATGCTCTTCTGATAGATTAGATGTAAGATTATGTACATATTGACTTCTTAATGTAGTAGATGAAGATTAGGCTCTCATAATAGCCTATTTTCCTCTTCCTAAAATATTTATATTTTGGCAAAATTAATCTTCACTACTTTCATGTAAAGAACAAGTATATAGTGTGTTCACTGCCGAGCCAAGAAGCATACAGGTATCTCCCTGCTTTTCAAAAATTCACATGAAGCTGCTTTACTTTTATGAAAGACCTACATTATACCTGTTCTCACCAACCAAAAGAAATCTAAAAAAATTTCCATTTTTACAAAAAAAGGTGAAAAGCAGAAATAGTGTTCAGTATTTTTTTGTAGCTAACAGTTGTAGAAGATTTGCACACTCTGGGCAGCGAGAGCAGCCCCCGCCAGCTCCTTCCCCAGAACTATATTCAGCATCTCAGCATCAGGCTACCACAGCTATGAACTCTGTGAGCATCTGTGTATCTCAGTTTATTTTCTCAGTTTACTTTCTCAATTTATTTTACATGTCCATTAGCAAGATGTGTTTTAATAACAGATTTTGCAGGGGGGGGGGGGTCTTGGAATGCACAAAAAATTCTCTATATAACTTAATCTAAGTGCTCTTCACTTTACAACATTTCGGCCTATGAAAGATATCATAGGATTGTTCTACTTTCTGATAGCAGGGGAGACATACTGTGATTTCATTTCATAGAGTTAATGATTACTTCATTGCTTTTCTAGTTGCTTCTCTTTGACTCTGAGTCTTCTTTGATCTTCTAAAAACTCTGCAGAATGAAATTAACCAGATTTTCTAGAGGGCTAACGCATGGTAGCAACACCTCTGGCAGAGCTCTCTAGTCTAGAGCGGTTGCTCGCCACGGCTACAACACAGAGGTGGTTCTGAACACCAACACGGAATTCTCTTTGACCCTACTGTGTGTTGGATCCTCCTGTATCTTGGATCCCGTCTCATCTCTCTTAGTGTACTCCTTCATTTTAGTGAAGTCCTTTTTCTTTGTTTTTGTTTTTTTTTTTTTTTTTAATTTATATGACACAGAGAGAGAGAGAGAGACAGTGAGAGAGGGAACACAAGCATCAGGAGAGGGAGAGGGAGAAGCAGGCTTCCCACTGAGCAGGGAGCCCGATGCGGGGCTCGATCCCAGGACCCTGGGATCATGACCTGAGCCGAAGTCAGATGCTTAACCATCTGAGCCACCCAGGTGCCCCTAGTGAAGTCCTTTTTCAAGTGGTTTCCTGAGAAAAGATGCATGTACGTATTCTGAAAAGAGCTTTATTCTAAGCTCATACTCCGCTGACCATGAATACTTGATTGGAAATCGTTTCCATTTAGAACATATAAGACTTTCTTCATTCATTATTTCTTCTTTTTTTTTTTTTTTTTTTGTTTCCTGTAAGTAGGCTCGTGGAGCCCAACACAGGGCTTAAACTCATGACCCTGAAATCAAGACCTGAACTGAGATCAAGAGTTGGACGCTTAACTGACTGAGCCACCCACGTGTCCCTGTCATTCATTGTATTTGTATCTGAAGTATTTTCTTCAATAATTTCTTATTTACTGTTTTCTTTTTTCTTCCTGGAATTTCTTTGAGTCAGATGTTAGACATCTTGGATTTATTGTTTGTCTTCTTTTTTTTTTTCCTTTCACATTGTCTACCACTTGTGTTTTAGGTTTTTTCCCCAACACTTTTACTGAATTTTAAAAATTTTTTGTTCTTTTTTAAAATTTTCACAAGCTCAGGGCGCCTGGGTGGCTCAGTGGGTTAAAGCCTCTGCTTTCGGCTCAGGTCATGATCCCAGAGTCCTGGGATCGAGTCCCGCATCGGGCTCTCTGCTCAGCAGGGAGCCTGCTTCCTCCTCTCTCTCTGCCTGCCTCTCTGCCTACTTGTGATCTCTCTCTGTCAAATAAATAAATAAAATCTTTAAAAAAATTTTTTTTCACAAGCTCTTCTTTTATTCTCAGAATTGTCCCATTTTTATAGCATCCTTTTATTATTATTGATGCATTTTTCCTTTTTTATTCAAATATATTAATTTTAATTTCCCTGAAATTTTTTTCTGCTTCCTGCAATGTCTCTCTTTCCTTTGAGTTTATTTTTTGTTTCGCTCTTACTTTCTGCTTAGAAAGGTCTGGGAATTCTTTGTTGTCTTCGTATATACATAAAAGCTCTGAGTGTTTGGGTGCCACTTACCCACTAGTAAGTTCCACTGTGGGGCAGTTAGATTATTAATTAGCTTTTTTATTAGGGACTCCCAAATGTCAGTGTTTATACAACTTTTCACTTGGGTAGTTTGTTTTCTCCTTAGTAGGATCCTCCAAGATACATTTAAGAGTAAGGTCAAGGTCTCACCATTCAATAAGCGAACTTAATCCTCTTACTTTCAATACCATGTCTCATATTTATTCTCCTTTGTACCAAGTCCCAAGTCAGACTTCCCTTATTTAATTCTCTAAAGACTGTACCTTCCACCTCCTACAGATCGAGGGAGGGGACTTAAAGATCTACTTTAAGACTTTCTGTTTTTAGTCCCCAGCTTTTTAAGTACCAGGTGCCTCAATTCCTGAGCCCTTCTGGTACTCTGCACGGCAAAGAGGCTTGTTTTCTTGCCAGCTCTCCCACTAGAGGGAGTTATGTTTCACCTTTTTCCCCACTGCCAAGTCACTTACATTCTTCCACATGCTTTCTGCCTTTATATATTGTGCTTGTGGCTGTGTGCACCACCTGTTTTTATTTTGTATTTCCATTTCTTGTTCTTGTTGTTTTAGTGGGATTTTTTTAAAATAAAGAGGAGACCATCTTGAGATCAGATGTCACTTTTAAATTTTAAATTCATTTTCAGCCTATTGTTTTTGCTTGTACTTTTATAATAGCAAAAGTTAATGTAACCTAAATATCCAGCAACAGCATAATTTTATAATCTCTCTCAAGTTGATTTTTATTCCATAAGAAATTGTAAAAACTGAGAATATATACATAAGCAAAAAAACAGAAAACATCTGTAACCATTCCCAATAACCACTGTTGGTATATTTCTTTGGTGTATATCCTTTTGAATTCTTTTTTATGCATATAGAAACATATCCTTTTTTACCAAAAATGAGGTGGTAATTTTTGTAACTTACCATAATTTACCTAAGAAATCCACAAACTTTTAGATACTCACTGTGTTTTACTTCAACCTTGTATTGCGGGATATTGTTCTATATTATAAACTGTCCAGAATAATAACAATGAGCTGAAGCTGAAATAAAAATTAAAATGAGAAAAAGTCAGGTAAATGTGATAAAAATTCTGACAAAAATGAATCAGAATATTTTAAAACATATATCCTTGTGCAGACATAAATTACTGACTTGACAAAAAGTGACCGATGTTTTTATTTCCAAGTTTACCTTGGGCCATATTAGTTTTTAGCCACTTAGATCTAGTTCTTCGATTTAAAAGAGGCCTTATGGCTTACCCTCGAACCTCCCCTTAAGCAATGTATCACAAGGCCTGCTGACTTTTATGAGTTCATATTGTTATGAGCAAGTGATTTCTTGAGTCAATGGTATGCTTGGAAGCTTACCATGATTTCAGCATCTGTTGCAAAGAAAACTGTCTGTCTTCTATTCTGGCCACTCCACAACCCTTAGAATGGGAGCTATATCCATGCTAGACTTGAAAGTGAGAGCTGTAGGTCATTCTTCTGTTTCCCTCTTGCACATGGACTCTTGAAGACTCGTATTGTTTTCTAACCTACTGCTTCTACAGAATTTCATTTTTCAGCCATTGGAAGAATGGTACCATAGGGGTATGGTTAAATTATTGTTCAGGGAAAAGTTAAAATTTTTTGGTAGAATTTATCAAATCAAGATGAAGACATTAATATTTTGTGCTTTAAAGCAAGCTTTTTAGTTTCTTACCAGTTAGTGAAAGCGGGCCTCTGTAATTCTTACACTGTATCCCTTCATCATCATAGATTATGGATAATACCTAGTTCTTCCAAATCAGATTTAATTTTTTACTTCATTTTGTACTT